AATTTGCAATTCGTTTACCGATGCAAATAAGTTTTCTATTACTCGGAAACGAAAATGTCTATTTTTTGAAATATTGCTTATCATGCGATTTTAAAATTTATTTTTATTTATTTATGTTAAATTTTTACTCGTCTTTCAACTATTTATAGTTAAAATGATGGGAAGAGATTCTGGAACTCAAGAAAACGTGCGCAGATAATCTTCGCCCTCATACGTCACATACAGTTTTTACTATTTATTTGACTAAATAAATCTAAATCTAAAGAAATCACACTACAACATAACTGCAGATGATGTCCACGCACTTATTTTGTCTGTGCGTTTATTTACGTATAGCTAATTTGTAAATGGCTTCATCACTATCTCTTGCAATGTCATTTATCATGAATGACATCCATTTTTTTCCCGGCCTGTGAAAATGGCCCGTCCCTTCTTACAGTAACTCCTCTACGGCAGGGGCGGGAACGATTTTGTCCGCTCGGGCAGTCGTGTTCCTGCCCTTGTCCAGCGTGCACGGGCTCGGGAAGACACAGCCGCGGTGTAAATATACTTGAAGTGAAGTCGCAACTGCAGTGGGCAAACGAAGTGTTTCGAGAGTGAAAGTGGAGCCAGCAGATCGATAAGCGATTGCCAAGAGGCAAGATGATGTGAGTATTTTTTATTTCAAATTGGTTTCATTGATGCAAGTTGTAATTTAACTATAACATAAACACTCACGAAAATATACAGTTATAAAATCGATTATGGATTAACTTAAAATGAAAATATGCAATAAATAGAATTGTAATAGGTTTATAGAAATGTTTTTGGAACAACTCATGAAATGAAAATAAGACATTTAAAATGGTGATTAGAATCGTCTTTGCAACAGATTTCAACAAACGTGGAAAATGTGTCAGAGTAAACATTTCCATAAAAAGTTTAATAAATTTGTTGGACAGTGGGACAGATAAGTTAGTTATGTTATCTGTTGTCAATTATTCCTAATTGAAAGTCTATATATACCACATCGGTTCTCAATACGCAGTAGCAAATTTACGAAATTCTATCTCCAAAATAGTAAAAATCTTGAAAACGAGAACTTCCTTCTGATTTCAATTCAGCTCAGCACTAAAAATTGACGTTCATTGCATGTAACTGCAACTTTCACCAATCGTAGCGACTCCTCGTGCCTCTGGCTCGACCCAGTCCGTTGGCCTTGCCCGCCCCTGCTCTATAAAACACATGGAAGAATCCTCCATGGAAATTTGTTCAAACTCAATTCTGTACATATATTACTTTCCATTTGCCAAAGAGCATCATCATCAAATAAAGAATTTGTTTCTAAAGTGGAATCGTGCGTAAAAATTAATAGAAATTCGTTTTGATTTTTTAAATATGCATGACCCAACAAATTTTCTCAGACTATCTCTCAGATTGCATGGTCAAGTGGCACTGATAACCCCAATAAACAATTTTGTTTTTGTCGTTTCAGTGGTTCTACTTCAAATTTCAATTTTGGGAACTTCTCAAAATTTGGTCTACATTTAGTCATTTTGAAAGTTTGTGACTGCTTCTCTATTTTACTGTCTGTTTCTCGAATTTTCAGATCTGTTTAGTTGATGTTTCAATACCGATCTAGTTTTCAAGACATAATATAACTTAAATATTGAGGTTATTATTGATAATGTTTCGCATGAAATATAAAACATTTCTCTTACGAACACTGAGAAAACAGTTTTTAATATTAGAGTATTTAATTTTAACATAATCATTTTAAAGTTGAATTAAATTCATTTTTTTTCTTTCCCGCTTAGTACTACTTGTGTGACTGTCTACTCCATTAAAATTATTACACAATACTGAAAATTAGTTGTCAAAATATATTATTAAGATTTTATTGTCATTCACATATTGATGTGTTTCCAATTAATTAGACACTATTAAGTACAGTTATAAATTACCGGTAAAAATGCAACACCTTGTAAATGATTTTAAACTGATTAGGATATGTATTTGCTAACAGTAGTACACACACATCTTGATGAATTTTCAATTCAAGTATTGCTCCACAGAACGGCGAAGGGATACAGTGGCTGTTCCTGTTCAGGTTTTGCGTATTCGGCGTCATATGGTTTATCAGTGACTGCGTTGGATACCTGCAGGGGCCGAAGCAGGCGAGTACGACCGGGAACTCCTCCAAAGGCGGGGATCCCACGGTAGATGAGGAGGTGGCCCTCGCTGTCCCAGTCCTTGACGCACCACAGCTGTTGTTAAAGGGGGGAGTGAAGGGCAAGAGCGTCTTGTCTGGTGACGTTCTCTTTCTCTCGAAGGGCCTTTTCAAATGGCGCCACTCAGTAGCGTTTCCGAGTGGCGTGACTGCCAGCAAAACATTGACTTAAATGGAGGCAGTCACACGAGCGGCGTAGACTTGGTCATGAGGCTCTCCTGCCGCCAGCAGCGTTGACGTGCGTTCGCTCCACCAACAAAACACAGTGGCAGCCTTCACATCAGACCACTGAGCTGGCTGCCTTTTGGCCACCGGAGCCCACAGCGGTGTGACTCACGAATCCTCACCCTCTTGCTGTCAGTGGCGGTCGGCGGTGTCTGCTTGTGAAGGGCTCTGCCGCTTTTCCTTGGCGCCACCGAGCGGCTGCGTGTGAAGGCAGCCTTAAGCCACGCGCCCGAGGTTAGGAGGGTTCTGGGTCCTCGAGAGACTGGATGCTTCCCCCGCTAATTACTGCTCAAGTAAGGAGGCACTTCTCTGTCGCTGGCTAATATTGACACGTTACCAGAAAACAGTTTCCAATACACAGATCTGATCGAACGTGACGCCGGAAATGTCAACGCGAAGTGTTAGTGGCCGATGAGTGTTGGTGCTGGTGGAGTTGGTAAGTGAGATTGCACACTTTACTTGGACACTTTTACACAGGCTCCCCCCGCACGGCTCCACTTTTCTGTAGAATCTTCTTGGCGACGAAAGGTTGCTTGTGCAGAGCACTGCGGTGCATTGTCTGTTTCAGTGCAAATGACGGCCTTTCGGACGTGTCCGCACTTGAAATGCCCTATCTTCATCAGGGTTACCTCCAATATGCTGGTCCAAATTTTGGTCTTTTGGCCTACAGTGCCAGGAGATGCCACAAATGCCTGTAGATGAAACGTCGACCGGTGCTCATTGCGTGGTGTTTTCCGCAGATGCTTAAGCAACTTGTTGGTGATAAGCCCAATCAACAGGCTAATTCCGCTCGTATCCCCTGCCAGTAAAAATCAAGAATTTCTTCACGATGTGCAATGGCGTTCTTATTCATAATTGCCATGCATTGGATCAAGCATGCAAGAAACATTAAGGAACGGCACCTGCTTATTGCACCTCTTACAGATTTGAGTAGCAAAATATACAAGGAAGGAAATAATGTATTATAATTTAACAATCATAGAATTCAATGGATGTGAAAATATATATTGGTTTCATCGGAAGTTGTGCAGTGTGATGCGTCTTTCACAGGGTGTTGCAATTGTATTCCGGTTTTCGATATACCATAATTGACTTTTTCTCTGTTTTTTGTAACTTCTTAATTATACTATTCCTGAAAATTAATATCAACATTTCTAATGTGAACGGAGTTGGTGTTATTCGATCTAGAAACTTGTGAATTTTTTCTAAGAAGTGCTTTAACAATAAACTTTACATGTCACACTAAATTCATTATTACATGAAATTCTATTCAGGACATTTTGATATAATTGTTTTTGTACAAAACACTCAAAAAATAATGCATCACTGTGGAATCAATATTTCGATCTATTTGTAATAATTAAAAACAATAAAATGTAAAACTCGGGTATAGTGAACAAAATTCATTTACTACAGGAAATCGCAAAATTACCGTGCGGGCATTCGTAAATGTTTTGGCTAGTTGTATGCAGAGAAGCCTAAACTTTGCGAAAACAATCACATTCTTCATTTCTGGTCAACCAAATCATCGTAATTTTTCACCTAACAATTGCAGAAGCTGTTTACCAAATACGTTTGAAAGGAATTTAATAATTTAACAAAATTATTTAAAACATTACGAAACACCCAAGAGAAATTTGCTCATTTCCTCGAAAAATTACAATACTGAAGATACTTCTCCAACCAACATTTTACCATTATTACCTTACCATAACAGTTAGCTAATAAGTGTTAGCACTAGCACACAGCACAAATAAAAATATTGAACACATTCTCAAAGAAACATACAAAGGATAAAAATGTGTATCAATAAATAAATAATACAAACATCATTATTAATTAGTTAAAGAGCAAAATTAAAAATACATTTTTGAATACCCAAAATGTACAAATCATTCATAAGATTATTAAAATTCATATATACAATGTTAGAAAAAAACTATAAAAAAATAAAAAATAGAATACAATTAATGTTATATAATTAACACTGCGCCAATATTATCCTTTAATTAGCGATTCAATAAAACCTTAACTCTCATCGAAACTTTAGCAACAAAACAACTTATTACTCTCTACACAATTCTCTAAGGATAGTATCTCCTCAATTTGTAGCATGGCTGAACAGATATGAACAGTAACTTCCTCATATACCTAAAATTAAATTGAAGGATTGGGGGACATAAATCATATTTCACGATAATATTAAAATGACTCACTGATTTTCTCTGAAATTTAATCTCAACGCTTAGCAATAGTAATAAGTGTTAACACTAGCACACAGGCACAAATATAAATATTGAACACATTCTCAAAGAACCATACAGAGAAAAAAAGTATACAAATATATAAGTAACTAATACAAATATAATTATTAATTGGTTAATTCTAGAGCAAAATTAAGAATACACTTTTTATTATACAAAATGTACAAATCATTCATAATAAGATTATTAAAAATCATGTTTACTCCCGCGCAATGCCTACCGTAAAATGTTGTATGGCACGAGGTTCAGTAACCGACCGGTGAAAATTAGGATCCATCCGAAGCTATTTTCACTTTTAAAACTATGATTCACCGCTGCGAGATAAATGTAGGCAATTTTTAAACATTTATTTTCTCAAAAATGCTCAAAATTTGTGCTTTAATTTTTTTCTTGGAGTAGAGTAAAGGACGCTTATTACAACGGTGTAGATCCGCCCAATGAACCCTCTGTGTTTTTGAAAATTTCAAAACTACAGGTTTGAATAAAGAGATTTTCTTCTCAATGAAATCTTTTCTAAAAATAATCAATATCTCTAAATAAGGTCTTGAGCAATTTTTTGGGAAAAAAGATAAATTTTCGCGTAACGTTTTTTGATGCGAAGGCAATTTATAAATTTCTTCTCAAAAACGGCTTCATATTTGTTCTCCAATGTTTTTTCTTGAGTAAAGCAAATAACGCTTAGAAATGGCGCAGATATAATTTTCGTGAAATTATGATTTTTCGGAAATAGAAAAAGATAAAAATAATTCGAGAAAGAATGTGCTGCTGTAGCACCACTATTTTGTCATTAAAGCACAGTTCATGTTTCAGGTTTTGTGCAAAGGTTTTCTAAACCATAAACCAAAACTATAAACCTAAGATCATAAACCCAATGCTTTTCCCGATCACCATCTATGTTCAACCCATCATGGGTCAATGGGTCATATGAATAAAAATGAGCACTTGCTCA